TCAAGCCAGCTGCTTCACGATGATGAGGAACATGGTTGCTGTTAAGTGCTTTTGAGTTGATTCCAACTCATAGCAACCCTATATAGGATTTTCAAGGCTTTATATTTTTGCAGGATCATTAAGCCTCATCCTTCTTTCAATGAGCGGCTAATGGACTTAGACTGCTGACCTTGTGATTTGCAGTTGCATACTTATACTGAATTCCGTGAGCATAGGACCATTGCCACACTTAGTTTGCTATGAAGTGGATCCCTTGATCTGAGGCAATGTTATTCAAGATATTGTGACAGTGGATAAGGCATTCTGTAAGTCTATGGGTTGTAGTTTAGGTAGAAATATTGCATGCAGGAAAGTCAAATCCATACCCAGAGTAAATGTCTATTCCAAAAAGGACATGATGCTGCCATTTCTATGATGGAAATACCCCAATGTAATCAATGTTCCACCATGTTGCTGGCTGATCTCCACAAGGAATGATCACATGTCTGGGATTCTGTTGGTTTCTGCTGCTGGCAGATAAGGCACTTAACAGTGGCTGTAGCCAAATAAGCCTTGGTGAATGGAAATCCATGCTGCTGAGTCCATGCAAAACCTCCATTCCTGTTACCATGGCCACTTTTTCACGAGCCCATTGGACAATGACTGGTCGTTTTCATAGAATGTGTCATTCATTTATCATGATGATATTATTGGTTTATAAAATATTCAAGTGAATTATTATGAGGATTTTTGCTTTCTTTACATTGAGGTGCAATCCACATTAGAGATTGTAGTCTTTGATATTTATCGGTAAGTATTTTAAGCCCTCTTTGCTTTCAGCAAGCAAGGTTGTATCATCTGCATATTGCAGGTTGTTAATGGGTCTTCCTCCAATCCTGATGCTAAGTTCTTCTTCATATAATTTAGCTTATTGTATTATTTGCTCAACATAATGACCCTAAATATGTATGCCACTAATATCAGAACTTCTAAATACATGAATTATAAATGGATATAACTGAAAGATAAAATAAATGCATAATTATAAATTAGAGGTTTTATTACCATTCTCTATGCAACTGATAAAAAATTTAGACAGGATGTCTTCATCAAAGATAATCAACCAACGTGATCAATTTGATATATGTAGAGCCCACTACCCAACAACAAAAGACCCAAGCATGCTCTTAGTTTTGAAGATGATGCAGGACTGAGGAATTGTTTGTTCTATATACATACAGATCACCATGAGTTAGAGACAATTTAGTAGCAGCCATCTACTTATAATAATAATGTATTATTGTGCTAAAAATGAGCATCGTTTTAAAAGAAATTTCACTTATATCAATTACACTGACTTTGAGTAAACCAACGATTTCATAAGAAATTATCCTGGAAAGTCTTCTAAAATTGTGACAAATAGGAAATAATCTAAAAGGATTTTCCATAAATTTTGGATTAAACTCTGGTTTAAACAATGGAATGAGATGAAATTAAAATAATATATATTAATTATCTTAAAGATATGAACAGATTTATATATACTTAAGGTTAAAATATTTCCATGAGGAGGTTTCTAAAAGTGTGTGTAAAAATGTAATTAAAAGGTAAGGGAATTATTTCATGAACTTTTTGAAGCCTCTTTATATGTTTCAATATATAAGTACTTTTAATTTTAAAGTTCATATTTCTAAATACTACTTGTGACATATGTGGGCAAGTTTTCAAAAATACTATGGAAGGTATGTTAATAAATATTAGATATTCTTACATCTAATTTAAGCCATTTTCCTTGTTTTCACATTATTTTTCTCTTATTGTTTATCTAATGCATTAGGAACATATAATTATTAATACTATGAAATCTTGGTAGAGAAGAAAATAAATATCTGTCATCTTTTACCTGCCTTGTATTATAAAAATGGTTTTAAACAGTAAAAAACAAAACAAAGAAACAAGTGGATACTATTTTTTTGCTTTGCTATTTTAAATGATATTTTTATTGTTTCCTATTTGTCTGTTTCAAATGTGTATGATGCTGTCTCTTGCCATTCAAGGTTATGTCCCCCACTGTTACTGTGTTAAGTTTAATTTGTTTCCCCAAAGTTCATTACACAGATGATTCATTAGTGATTTTTTCAGCCTGGTCACTAAGGACCTTTTTGTTCATTAACGTTGTTACATATTTGGCAAATTAAAAAATCAAAACAAAAAACAGGCTTGGCATTTGAAAATCTTTCTGCAAATAAAGAAAATTCACAGGATCAACTCTTCCAAAGCTAGTGGGAGTTCCTTTGAACTAGTCTTCTCTTTTTAGTGATGAGTTTTTAAAAATATATTTTCTGGACTGGTGAAAGCATGGCATTTATTGTAAGGAATGTTATGCAGTTGATTGCATTTGGTTAGCTTCTATACATACAACATATGTTGCAGTTTATAAAATATCCAAGTGAATTATGCATTTGCCAGACAATTCTAATTTGCAGAGTAAGCAGATTAAAAGAATAGTGACCGGAAATCCAAATGTTGCTTTTAAAAATGCATTCATGTTCAAATTGTAACTATAAATGTTTGTTGTTGCTGTTGTGTGCCATAGAGTCGATTCTGACTCATAGTAACCCTGTACAAGGTTTCTAAGAAGCAGCTTGTGGGTTTGAAATGCCAACCTTGTGGTTTACAGTCCAGTGCTGATCCTACAGAAAGAAGCTATGACTAACTGCTAAAAGAGTGAGTATGGTACATTCCAGTTAAATTTACCCTTTGAGACTTGGATCATATTTATTTCTAATGAGTGAATTTTCATTTAGTTGTGCAAAATTTTTTAATATGAGTTTGAATATAAATATTAATGCAACATTTTTAGGAGACTTTAAACTTGAATAATGTGTAGTCACTGGTGACATTTTTTTAAGTAACAATGAATATAATGTCATCTGAAGTAGCATAAACTGGTGATATGAGGAAGTGATAACTCTCACACAAAAATTTCTGGATAGTCCTGATCCATCCTCATAATCATTGCCACGTTTGAGCACATTAATGCAGTCACTGTGTCTATCCATCTAATTGAGGGTCTTCCTTCTGATGATAACCCTTCTTCTTTAATAAGCATGATATCCTCCTGGTACTATTCTATCCTGTTATCATGTCCAAAGGAAGTGAAACTAGAAAGAAAAAGGGTGATTAAAAAATAGTGAATGCTTTAATAATGTGAAATATGAGAGATTATGTATGGTAAGAAGTACATGTTCCACTTAGATATCTCTTAAACTGAAAAGAAAATCTTTTGAGAAATTTTGGTATAAACAGGCTGGGAATAAAAAATATGATTGCAGTATGCTGAAAATCGTATGAATGATGATTTAAAAAATTAAAATTGTGATCTGTCAGGTACTTTAAAGCTTCTATTGTGGTTTGGGCAAAAGTTAATAGAAAAAAATTGGTTTTTCATTCAATAACTCATATCCATCAGTTAAATACTTCTTAAGTATTTTATATAGTAAACATGTAAATTTTCAATACTTTATATATGATAAAAACAGTCTCATTGAAAGCAAGCAGAGCTTGGAGAAACTTTAATATAAATCTGATGCCTTTTACATTTAGTGGTATTAATAATAAGATGTTGAAAGATTTTTCAATCTTAATTGAGCAGATTGAAAATAGTTGTGACAATGTCATACCTCTTCATATAATTTGGTTCTAGCATATTTTAATGTTATATACAATATATTTCTTATTTTAAAAATCCTTATCTTCCACACAATCATAGAAAATAAATTTAAATTTTAAACTGAAAGTCATGAAACAGAATTAGGAAGTTGTGAGTAAAGAAAGTTGTCTAAAGAAAACAGGACTTTTGAAATTGTACAAATGCTAGATTCCAAATTCTTATGCAATGAATATGGAGAGTTCCCATAGAGATTCCTAAACTATTTGTGATATATTCGTACTTTATCAAGAGCAAGATTTTAAGGAAGCACACATGGGTTATTCCGTTTTATAATTCAGCCTTTGAGTAGAGAAGAGTATTTGATCTTAGAAAATATTAGCACTCAGTCCAAATTATGTATAAAACATGAATCCAGGATACAGATAAATGAACAAAAATTGGGATGTATCTTAATTATATAGTGCCAATATAACAGAATAACACAAATGGAAGGCTTTAAAAAACCAAAATTTATTTTCTCAAAGTTTAAGAGGCTAGAAGTCCAAATTTAGATTGTCAGCTATAAAGAAAGGTCCTTGTCTACTTTCAGTATCTGTAGTCCCAGCATTCCTTGGAGACCTCCATGTGTCTTGGCACCAATCTTTCCTTGCATGGATCAAGGATCTTCACAGTGTAGGGACCAAAGGATGCACTCCACTCCTGGCTCTTCTTTCATGGTGGTAGTAGGTCACTCTCAAGGTTTAATCTCTTTTATATCTCAAAAGAGATTGATTCAAGATACTACCTAATCCTATAGATTTCATCCAGCCTCATTAACATCATAGAGTGAGAATTGACAATGCATTGAAAAATTACATCAGATCAGGCTGACCATATCAGATCTTATCATGAGAGTATTTGCATTACATGAGATTACATCATAGGGGATGACTACACTTAACTATTAAACTACTGAGAATCTTGACAGTCAAGTAGACACAAAAGTTTCCAGTCAAGTAGACAAAAAACCTTAACTATCCCAGGAAGAAACTGTGGTGAGAAGGAAGAACCAGTAATATGATTGAGTATGGTGTAGATAAAGTGATTTAATTTTTAAAATATCCAGAAATGTACAACTGTGGAACCTATATTACTAGTTTATTGATATTATGAGTACGGTGTAGATAAAGTGATTTAATTTTTAAAATATCCAGAAATGTACAACTGTGGAACCTATATTACTAATTTATTGATATTATGAGTTGTAATCAAATTTTAATATATGTCAAATCATTTGCATAGCTTTCCATTATTAATTCATCAATATAAAAACCTTTAATTTTGAATGCAGAGAAGTCAGAAGTCAACAATGAGAAACCAAACAATAACATTTATCCTGCTGGGACTTACAGAGGACCCACAGCTGAAAGTTGTGATTTTCATCTTTCTATTGATCACCTACATGTTGAGCGTAATTGGGAACCTGACAATCATCTCTCTCACCTTCATTGATTCTCACCTTAAAACTGCCATGTACTTTTTCTTAAAAAATTTCTCCTTCTTAGAAATCTCATTTACATCTGCTTGTATTCCCAGATATTTATACAACATATCAACAGGTGACAAGACAATCACATATGATAACTGTGCTATTCAAATTTTCTTCACTGATCTCTTTGGTGTAACAGAATTTTTTCTTCTTGCCACCATGTCCTATGATAGATACGTAGCCATCTGCAAACCCCTACATTATGTGACCATCATGAACAACAAAGTCTGTAGAAGGCTCATCTTTTGTTGCTGGACATCTGGCTTGTTGATCATACTCCCACCACTTAGCCTGGGACTAAATCTAGAATTCTGTGACTCAAAAGTCATTGACCACTTTGTTTGTGATGCATCCCCTCTTCTAAAGATCTCATGCTCAGATACATGGCTCATAGAACAGATGGTCATAGTTAGTGCTGTGTTGACCTTTATCATGACTCTTGTATGTGTTGTTATGTCCTACATATACATCATCAAGACTGTTCTACGCTTCCCTTCTGCCCAGCAAAGGAAAAAGGCATTTTCGACCTGCTCTTCCCATATGATTGTGGTTTCTATCACCTATGGAAGTTGTATCTTCATCTATGTTAAACCCTCAGCAAAGAATTCAGTGGCCATTAATAAAGGTATAACTGTCCTCACGACTTCTATTGCTCCTATGCTGAACCCGTTCATTTATACCCTGAGAAACAAGCAAGTAAAACAAGCCTTCAATGACTCATTCACAAGAATTAAATTGCTCTTAAAGAAAAGTAAGAAATTTTGCTAATATAAAACAATGTGCTTTTACTAAAAACCTTTAGTCTGTAATCATGCTTGAGTTTATATAGTTCTTGAAGAAAAATGAGGCATTCTACTTCTGTGCTGGACTACAAAGTTGATTTAAACCTCAAGGTTGGTGGTTCAAGCTCACTAGCCATTCCTAGGAAATCCTGTACAGTGTTGCTATGTATCAGAACCAACTTAATGGCATTTAACAACAACAGCAATGGCATATATATGCCATTGCTGTTGTTAAGTGCTGCCAAGAAGATTCTGACTCACAGGGACTCTGTATATGGTTTGCAAGAAATAGGTGGTAGTTTTGAACTGCTGACCTTGTGGTTCAGCATATATATATATTGTTGTCGTCAAGTGCCATCGAGTCAATTCTGATCCATAGCGACCCTGTATAGGGTTTCCAAGGAGCAGCTGGTGGGCTTGAACCGCCAACCTTGCAGTTTATATATATATATATATATATATATATATATATACACACACACACACACATACATATATAAGGAGCTCTGGTAGCGTAGTGGTTATGAATTGGGCTGCGAACCTTAAGGTCAGAGGTTCGAAACTACCAGCCGCTCTGCGGGAGAAAGATGAGGCTTTCTACTTCAGTAAAGATTTACACCCTCAGAAACCCTGTACAGGGTCCCTATGGGTCAGAACTGACTCGATGGCACTTAACAACAATAACAACAACATACATATATATGTATATATACACATGCATTACACATGCATATATATGTATATGTATATATATACACATGCATATATATGTATACACATACATACACATACATGTATATGTATATATACACATGCGTTACACATATAAATATATGCATATATACAATGCATATGTGCATACATATATGTATGTGCACACATATGCACACGTATGAATGTGCACATATATGTGCACCTGCACATGTGTGTATACATACATGTGCACATGTGTGTATATATACACATGCATGCGTGTGTGCATGTATGTGTATATATAATGTATGTATATATACACACATGTATATATACATTTACATATATATGTGTGTGTAAATATAGTTGTTGTCAAGTGCCTTAGAGTCAGTTCCGACCCACAGCGATCCTGTATAGGGTTTCCAAGGAGTGGCTGGTGAGCTTGAACCACAGACCTTGTGGTTAAAACTGGCTTTGTAGTCCAACCATTAACCCACAGCCCCACGCTATGAGCTAATGTGCTGGAATGGACTGCAAGGTCTATTTGAACCTCAAGGTCAGCAGTTCAAGCTCACTAGCCAGTTCTCTGACACCCTACATAGGGTCGCTATAGGTCGGAACCAACTCGCCTGCACGTAACAACAACAAATATATATATATATTTTGTATATAAGGTGCTCTTGTACGAGTCGGGCTACTAACATCAAGGTCAGCAGTTTGAAACTACCAGCCGTTCCTCAAGAGAAAGATGAGGCTTTCTAATCCAATAAAGATCTACAGCCTCGTGGGCTAATACGTCAGACTGCAAAGTGTTTTGAACTGCAAGGTAGATTGTTCAAGTTCACCACCTGCTCCTTGGAAGACCTATACAGGGTCGCTATGAGTCAGAATCGATTCGACGACACATAACAACAAACCCTCTGCAGGGTCGCTATGAGCCGGAACCTATCACTGCACATAACCACCACCACCTCCATTGTGTCAATTCTGACT